CCAAATTATATTCTTGACGTTTTGTATGAGATATTGCATTAACTGATAAGAGAACTTTATAAAAAGAAGATATTAAACAGGATTTTCAACATAAACTTGAAAGTATTCTGGTAAGCCAAATCTTTGTTTTTTTAAATGCAAGTGATACAATTATTGATACTATAAATATAACTGTTTTTTGAACTTTCTTAGCATTTAAATTTTTAGAATTATAATTTTTTTGACGTTGTTGTTGTCTTTCATTTGTTTGATTATATAATCTTTCAAGAAGTGTTTGGATCATATTTTCAAAAAATTGAATTAATTGAAAAGGAAGTGCTTCATAAAATTCAAGTGAAGATTTTGGTTCTTCTAAATGTAATTTTTGAGATTCAATTTGTTTTCTATTTTTTAATAAAAGATTTGCTATTTGTTTATCAAAATTATAGCATTTTTCAGAACTCCAATCCGCTTCTTCATTATTTAAATTTATTTGATAAAATTTAAAAATGGTTTGTATTGTAAAAAAACTTGGAATTGTAATAGAATCTATTGTTTCATGTTTTTCTAAAATTTGCAATGTTGGAGCAATTAAAGATAATGCCTTATTTTTTAAATTTATATCATTTGAATTTGCAATTTTTGTTATCTAAATTGAAAATAAATGTAAGGAATTTGAAATATCCTGATTGTGTTTTCCTTTAACAATACAATTAATAGACTTATGACCTGTTCCTGAACGTATATGAAGATGACCACCATATTTTTCATAACATTTACAACATATATAGTGAAAATGATTAGATGAATGAGATTGAGTTATTATTGGATTGAATACTTAAAGAGCGGGACAAGTTTTTTGACCAACACATGCTACTTAAAGATTTTTTCCAATTAGAGACCATGAATGTTCAGAGCAAGTTTTTCTTCGACTAAAAATATAATAATTTTTTTCACAATAAAGACATTGTTTATAATTAATTAAACTTTGAGAAATATTTTTGTTTTTTTTAATTCCTTTGGAATATAACTTATTCTGATCAAACATAAAATGATTGTAACATACACCAAGATTTTCGAGTTGAATTTTTGCTTGTATTACTGTATCAGTATCTAATTCCCATGTTCCAACTAGTTGCCATAATCTGCGTAACTTATTTGTTGAACTACACTTTTTAATATTACCATCAATATGATCAATAATTGCACAAGGAATTAAAATACTATTATCATTAATTTGAGATATTTCCTTTTCAGTTTCATGTTCAATATTTTCAGTTTCTATTGATCCTACTAAAGAAACTGTTCCAGATTCTATATTTTCTTCATTACTGCTATTATTCTTACTGGTATTTAATTGTCTTGCTAGTTCTATAGCAATTTTATCTGGAATATAAGTAAAATTTTCATCTACTTCTGAAATATTATTAAAAAAATCATTAATATTCATTTTAATAAATTGAATACGAAATCAAAATACTTAAAACTCAAGTTACCTTTATATATTAACTTTCTTTCGATTTGAAACAGGTTTCAAAATCAGATAATAACAGAGAATTTTTTTTTTATGCACTATCATATATATCGATTTTTCACACCCCTTTTACACTCTTTATATTTAAAATATATATTCGGAATAATTCCGAATTAACAACTTAAATTTAAATGAAATAAAGAAAAATGCATTCCCAACTTCTATTATGTTTGTTTTTTTTGAAAAAATTATTAATTTTATATAAAAATTCACGTAAAATAATTTTAAATAGTGTTTTTATTAGTTAATGGTTTACATAATAGACAACTATTTTGACAAGATCCTTTTAAACTGACTTGGAATATTTAATTTTTAAAGTTCATAAAAATGTTTCTGAAAACTCAATTAACATTTTAAATGAAATGGGAGTTCAAAATGTGTAAAAAAATTACACAGTTGTCATGAGATAAAGCTAAAAAAGTGTAAAAATTCATGAAATTTATCTGATAAAATGATCAACACTATATATAACTAAATTTGGTATCAAAATTGTCGGACATTTCACATGACTGTTATGTATACGAAGCGACATATACTGTAACATTTATTTTCCCGGTGCACACCTCAAGCCATCATTCTTAGCTATACGATTAATTGACTCCAGGATCACTTACAAAAAAAGTGTAATAAATTGTAAATATAAGTACTTTATGAATACATAGAAACGCCGAGGATAATTTTATTACAAACAACGATCTCTATTTAATAGGAGTTCGGTTCTTATTTAAATGAGGAATACTTTCTGACATAATACGTCGTCTTTTGTTTTTCGTATTATTTTGTAAGATTTCTTTTATGATTTTTTCTGATTCAAGCGATTTCGACTACATTGATTATATATGTTAAAAATGCCGATTAAATACTAATAAATCGTATAATAGCTTACCTCTAGCAACCTAAGAATGTAGTACGCATCCTCAAGGATGCTTAAATCATCTTCATCAACCGGTAATTCGCACTTATCTAATTTACCAAATCTGTATATTCCGCATCCAATCCAATCCATAGCGTAAAAGCTTAGTTCAACTCTTGACATTTAAAATATTAATATATTTTTTTAATATATACTAAATATCACATTGAACAAACTTACCAACTTGCAACCAACCGTAGACTATTAACTTTTTACGTTGTTCGTCTGTTACGTGCAAATAGTTTTTAAAGAATTGATTCAAACTGTCCCTTAACATCACCATAAGTTTTACTTTGTCCACAAATTGTTTTTTCCTACAGGAAGCGGGCAAGCCGAAAGAAGTCAGACCACCGGAAATTTCGCCATAGATTATTTCAAATTTATTCGGCGTTTTGACCAAAGTTCCTTTCATGTCAACCTTGTGTCCAATTCTAGCCTTCGTGAAGGGATTT